AATGTAATTCAGTTTTTTTCAAATGTAATTCAGTTTTTTTCAAATGTAATTCAGTTTTTTCAAATGTTGTTCATTTACACCTCAGGGTCACCATACTCTCCATTTCCCTATGGTAATTGAAATTTTTCAGCTTTTTAAAAGTTACTATTCTGCATTTTTTTTTTTGTTTTGCTGCAAATTTATGTTTTTATTCAGAAAATGTCCACTCTTTTGTGCTATATTCTGCTTCTTTCAGCATAACTGAGCAAACATGTTCTTTATGCTTTCTTGTGCCATTTTAAGCTTCTTCTACCTTTTCAGCTTCCTTTTTAGCATTTTTAGCTAGTTTTAGGTGTTTTCAGAAAAATTCAAGTTTTAGTGGTAATTTCTGCTATTTCTGCCTAATTAACTTCTTTCTGCTAATTTCAGCTTATTTCTGCCAGTTTCAGCTTCTACTATTTCAGCTACTATTTAGCCATTTTTGTGCTAAATTTAGCTTTTTCAACTAATTCCACATTTTTTGCACTCTTTTAAACTTTTTTCAGCCTAATTCACAAAAAATATACACTCTCCAATTGCTTCTGGTAATTTCATCTTCTTTCTGCTTATATTCAATTGATTTTTTTCTTCAGATTTCTACTTTTGTTCAGATAATTTCCACTTTTTGTGCTCATTTCTGCATCCTTCAGCCTAATAGGGAACAAATGTGCTCTCTCCAGTTCATTTTGGTAGTATACGCTTATTTCTGCCTTTTCAGCTACTTTTCAAATGCAGATTCTCTAGTTTAGTTTACTAATGACTTTTTTGTAAACTTACATTTCCTCCGATCCCCAATCCACAAAGGAGCAACAAGACGAGCAGACCTGACGACATCTGTGCAAACATTAGAGTTAATTTACAGTTCAGACAGAACCTTAGAGTCACAATAATTCAATCTGCAATATCAATAATTAATAATGAAACATGTTTTAAATGGAAATTATACAGCAGATAAATATAATCAGGTGTAGACTGACGTTTTTTTGTACTGATGAATAAAACCAGTCAGATGTTACCTTGTTGTGATGTTTGGTCCAAGCAGCAGCAGCAGCAGCAGCAGCAGCAGCAGCAGCAGCAGCAGCAGCAGTAGCAGCAGCAGTAGCACTTCCTGAAAGAAGGATGCCTTTGAAAAGTGAACACAGTGCTTTTATACCTTTACACTGTTGGTGAACCTGTCAGTCAACTGATGGCATGTCATGAGATAAAGATTAAAGCTGTAGGGGGGAATTTGTTTGTGAGCACCCCTCTCTCTCAGGTTGGAGCTGCTGAGGTTTGAATCAGTAATGGGAGTGATGGGGGTGTGTCAGGAGGAATGAATGGACACACTGGAGGCCATTTCTCCTTATTGTTATTGTTAAGGAACCTCACATTTCCAGTTTTGTTTGTCTCTCTAGTTTAGTTTACTAATGACTCTCTCCCCACTCAGCAGTAAGTGCATTCATGCAACCTTTATTTATACAGGTTAATCCCATTGAGCCTCTGGGACTCATTTACAATAGAGACCTGAATTTTAACAAAGAGTGATGACAACAGTGGACAACAATGACAACAATAGACAATCATAAAAGATGCATACAAATCTATTTAATTCTTTGTTTTTTAACAAGTTAAAATAAAATGGCAAACAAAAGGAAAAGTAGCGAGGAAAAAAACCGCTAGATTGTAAGGTTGTGTCGAAAACTAAAAATAGGAATGGGTCTGCAATGGTTTTTGCCAGGAATTTAACAGATGTTTGAAGCCACTTAGAGAGGTCAAGGTTGAGAGCTTCAGATTATTTTGCAAGATATTCCAGGAAACACGAGCTGAGTAGATGACCCTTTTGCCAGTTCCAGCTGAGAATAAGTCTATTAAATATGTAAGTCTATAAAAATAGCCAACCACAAAAATAATCTTTAAACTAAATGATTTCATCATGTTTTGAGACATATACAGAGCAGATGCTTGTCACACATTCATTATGTTGAGCTCCATGTCAACCCAGCTGAGTTCTACTACGCACCTCTTTTGGCTTGCTTCATATCTGAAAACTCTTGTCTGTACAAGATGTGTCCAGCTCTGTGATTTATGAATGGCCAGAGGCAGCTTAAAGATAAACTGGTTTGTGTGCAGTCATTTCAGGGAATTGTTTTGTTGAAGAGTCTTGTGTAAACAAGTCAGGATTCAAAAACACAAGCAACTTCAGTAAGTGGTCCGTTTACAAGAGGGCAGAACTCCAACAAAGTGCAATACTTTGTAAAATGAAAACTGTTGTTAAGACCTTCTTCATACTAAATGATGAAGCCACCAGTTTTCTCAATCTTGTGAAAAGTCATAACTCACCTGCTGGATTAAAGCTGTTAGTTGGTTGGTCTGAAATAGTACTGGTGCAAACAGTTGGACCCAGCTGTTGGGTCAGAGAGAAACTGTCACATTTTTCACAGACTGCTCCATTAATACCTTTAGCTTGCACTAGTAAATCAGTTTGAACTTCTAAAATAACAGTAGTTGCTGTTGTTGTTTTCAAGTGCTTTATAAATCAAGTGGTATGGTATGGTAGCTAACTGGTGCTGACAACTATTAGCATAGCAGACAACTATTAGCTAATAGTTGTCAGCACCAGCTAGCTACCATACCATACCACTTGATTTATAAAGCACTTGAAAACAGTAACAAGGCCAACCATAGTGCTGTACAGAAAAGACAAACAAGCAGAGAACACAGCAAAAAATACATAGATCTACAGAGGTAAAGATGAAAAATTAAATGACTAAAACTATAAAATACATCCATTCATCCAATATCTTCCACTTGTTCCAAAGTCAGGTCTCAGGGGCAGCAGCTTGAGCAGGGAGGCCCAGACATCACTTTCCACAGCCACTTCTTCCAGCTCTTGAAGGATACCAAGGCATTTCCAGGCCAACTGAGAGACATAGTCTCTCCAGCATTTCCTGGGTCTTCCCCGGGGTCTCCTCCCAGTCAGACATGCCCAAAGGAAGAAGGAGCAAACAACAAACAACACAAAAAGGAGCCCGACTGGAGGCGCCAAGGGACAATCCTTACGAGATGCCCAAACCACCTCAACTGGCTCCTCTTGATGTGGAGGAGCAGTGATTCTGCTCCGAATCTCTCCCGGATAACTGAACTCACCCTATCTCTAAGGGGGAGCAGTGGGAAAACCTCATTTCAACCACCAGTATCTGTGATCTCATTCTTTTGGTCACTGCCCAGAGCTCATGACCATAGGTGAGAGTAGGAACGTAGACTGACTTGTAAACAGAGAGCTTTGCCTTGCAGCTCATCTCTCTTTTCACCACAACAGACCGGTACAGAGTCCACAATACTGCAGATGCTGCACCAATCTGTCTGTCAATCTTACACTCCATTCTTCCCTCACTCGTGAACAAAACCCAGAGATACTTGAACTCCTCCACTTGAGGCAGAACCTCACCCTCAACCTAAAGGGAACAATCCACCCTTTTCCGGTTGAGGACCATGGCTTTAGATTTGGCGATTTTGGTTCTCATCCCAGCTGCTTCACACTCAGCTGTGAACCACTCCAATGAGAGCTGAAGAACATGGCACAATGACGCCAACAGTACCACATCATCTGTAAAGAGCAAAGATGGAATCCTGAGGCCACCGAACCAGAATTCCTCCACCCCCTGGCTGTACCGAGAAACTCTGTCAATAAAATATCCTGATCCATGCTCAATAATCCAGGTAGAAAAATCCAAAAAAGTTCAATCTGGTCCTCTGGACATTCAAAAAACAAGAACTCCATTCTGCAGTCTACACTCATCTCCAGGCCAGCGGTCACTCTTTCAGGGATGAAGATGTTCACATCCTGGACAGAGAGGAACGATGGTTTGAGAGAGGAGTAAAGGAGGCCATCTTTGTGAAAAGAAATCGTCCATCGTTAAACAGGGGTGGAGGCCTCTGGGTTCAACTGTCCCCCTTTTACAATGCTGTGATTGCTAGTATCACTCAGCCCTCTGTGAACAGTAAACAGCCATCAGTGTGCTAATGATCCATTGTTAGGCTGATGGGCCTTCTTGACCATGTGAGCAGCTGGTTTTGGTTGTCAGCAGCAAACTGGTTGATCCACTCTGAGAAGGTGCTATTTAAGAGACTGAGCTGAATACAGCACCTCAGACTGAGGAAGTCTCTTGGATGAGAGACGAAACATTTCTATATTTTTTTTGCTTTGTTTTTTTTTTTGTTTTGATTTTTTTTTCTTGTTTTTTGAATGTCCAGAGGACCAGATTGAACTTTTTTGGATCTTTCAATAAAAGTTATGAACAGAATCGGTGACAACGGGCAGCCCTGGCGGAGTCCAACTCCCACCCTGAAGGGGTCAGACTTACTGTCGGAAATGCAAATCAAACTTTCGCACAACTTGTATAGGGTCCGAACAGCCTGTAACAACAGGCCCCCGATCCCATACTCATGGAGCACCCCCCACTCTGTACCCCAAGGAACATGGTTGAATGCCTTCTCCAAGTCTACAAAACACATGTAGACTGGATGGGCAAACTCCCATGACCACTTGAGGACCTTAGTGAGGGTAAAGAGCTGGTCTAGTGTTCCATGGCCAGGACGGAACCCACATTGTTCCTCCTGGATATGAGGTCCAACCAACAATCAGATTCGCTTCTCCAATACCCCTGAATAGATCTTACCAGAGAGGCTAAAGAGAGTGATGCCCCTGCAATTGGAGCACACCCTCTAGTCCCCCTTTTTGAACAGGGGAAGAACCATCCCAGTCTACCAATCCAGTGGCACTATCCCAGATGTCCACGCAATGTTGCAAAGGAGTGTCAACGAAGACAGCCCCACAACATCCAGAGCCTTAAGGAAATCAGGGCAAATCTCATCCACCCCCAAAGCCTTGCCATTGCATACTTTTTAATTACCTCAGAGACCTGGGGCCTCGGTTATGGACAGACCAACCCCAAAAGTCCCCCTGACTTCACTTTCTCCATGGAAGATGTGCCAGTGGTATTGAGAAGGTCCGAGAAGTATTCCTTCCACCTCCCGACAACATCACTGGTTGAGGTCAACAGCACGCTGCTTTCCCCTCCTGAGCCACCTGATGGTTTGCCAGAA